CATGCGAGGATGAAAGAAAAGTGTAATAAATAATGATTCGTGAGTTTGGCATCAGATCAACAATGCATCTATGTGAAATGTTTCGATTTGAGATGTGGCCCAAGCAGTTACACAGCAATGGAGCCAAATTACTGATCATACAAATTTATGCTAAGATGATTGTTTCTTCAATAACAAGGTATTTTATTTAATGTCGAAGTGAAATTAAGAATCGGGACTCTCCAGATGTTTTATTATGCGTGGAGAGGGGAGTCAAATGAACGTACATAAAGCCTGTAAGAAAACGTTGTTGTTGGTTTTAAGGTTCAGATTTTAGATCATTCCGTATAATAGACATTCGGATTTCATACTTTGTACTGTATTTATCTAACAGCAAAATGTAAAACAGTCATTTGCTCAATAATATTTACATGAACACTTTTAGTAGCCTGTAATAATAAAGCAGTATTATATCTCTTTGTCTAGAAATAACTTTTCAGAATTATTTGCCTGAAATATTTTTTCCTTTTTCATTCTTCTGCCTTCTTAAGATACATATATTGGCTTTACTTGAGCACTTTCTTCTATTATATATTTTGTTACCTCTTGCTATGAACAGCTATAATTTGATTAGATGTGTTGTGCTATAAAATAATGTTTCTGAAATTTAATAAAAACCATTGTTACCATTACATATATGGCAGTCATCCTTACTGCATTGAGTGGCAACTTTTGTCTTTCTTACACAATATGCATATGTACTCGCCATAGCACAAAGATTAAAAACTTGAACTTTTTTGCTTAGATTTATTTACTACTTACTTCTCACTCTTTTTTTCCCCTTTTTTTTTTTTTTTTTTTTTTTTTTTTTTTTTTTTTTGTCTGTTCATTACCAATGTGTAGTGTTGGCTCGTGTGTGTTAATGTTTGAATATTTAGTCTCTTGCGGAATGTGCTTTCATTTTTAACCCTATGCATTCGAGCGGTGCCTCTCAGGCACCATTGCATGTGATGCGATAACTCGAGCAGTGCCTGAGAGGCACCATTCAAGTCGATGTGTTTATTTGTGTTTGACCTAAGGAATATCGCTTGAGAGATCTACTTGGCCTTTTGTAGATTATATTACAAGGTGTCTGAATAGCTATAAGGTTGTCTTATCTCAAATAAAGGTTGTCTTTGCAATGCTTATGTGATTAAATGTCTTATTTCAAAAATACTTGCAACCGCGCATAGGACTCTGTCTTCGACATCAGTTCGAACTCAACCTTCTTGCCGATCGCAGTATTTCTTTCAAAGTTACTGAGCCCAATAAGTATGGAACACGACGAAGAAGTTACTTCTAGCAAAGTTTAATTTTTCGGCAATAACGAACGAAATTGCATCACTACATAGACAGCTTGCCCATGAGAATGAAGACGGAAGTGATAAAGATAGTGACACATTAGAGGAGCAAGAAGACAAAAAATCCGAATAATCGATAGTGAATCTGGAAGCCAGACTGATTGTACAGAAGAGACTGAACCTTCAGAATGGACAGTGTGCACAGAATCCGAAGAAATCCCCAGAAGAATACCGTTTATTATATCCGGTGAAAGACAAGAATATATCCGGTGAAAGACAAGTAGGACCGCATGTATTTGCACACATAAAAGAACCAATAGATTTTTTCAAATTATTTTTCACCGAGGAATTAGTTACTGACATAATGCAGGAAACAATAACGCTGCAAGGAAGGTGGAAGGCAAGACCTTATCATCCCGTTATATATGGCAATCATGGTACGATGTAACAGTTACCGAATTTTGGGCGTTTATTGGGGCAATCATAAATATGGGGACAATGCCACTGGCAAACATACAAGAATACTGGTCGAAAAATTATACTAGTTATATTCCATTTTACTCAGACATGTTTACGAGAGACCGATTTTGTCAAAAATTTTGGAGACTTCACCTCAAGACAATACCCTCAGAAAACACAAACTCTAGAACCCGTTTGCAGTTAGTATCTGGTTTCCTCGAGTATATAAATGAAAGGTTCTTGAATTATTTTGTATCCGGAGAGCAGATTTGTGTGGATGAGTCGACTGTCAAATTCAAAGGCAGCATATCATTCATTACGTACAATCCAGTGAAACCTACAAAATAGGGTATTCGGGTTTATACGCCCACAAATTCAAATACCAGCTTCATTTGTGCTATTCTGCCGTATTATGGATCTCTAACAACAGAGACTTTGATAAGACCCGATCTACCAGTATCAACCAGAATACCGCTACATCTATACAAAATGATGCAGGATAAAATTCCTGGTGTTCAGGGAGACCACATGTTCATAGACCGTTATTATACAAGTTACATATTGGCAGAAGAATTACACAAACAAAAGTGCCACTTAACTGGGACGATCATGATAAATAGAAAGCACCTCCCATGTGAAATAGGAAACTCAAAATTTGAGAATCAAACCACATGTAAAGGTAATATTTTGGTTCTTGCGTGGAAGGACAAGAGGATTGTGACGGCTTTGACTACTTGGAATAATGCGGGAATAACTCCTGTAAGAAGAACTTTACGAGGCAGTATTGAAGTCATTATAAAAAAGCCCAAAGTTATTGTAAATTACATCAAATTTATGAGCGGTGTTGATCAAGTTGACCAACTGGCTTTGACATGTTGTTTTTTAAGAAAATCTGTAAAATGGTGGCGAAAACTATTTTGGGGGGCTTTGGAGATCTGCTCCATCAATTCATACATTCTTTATAAGTCAGTAAGAAGCAGAGAAACGAACGGCTGCTTAGTCACCTACAATATTTGAAAACTTTAGTGGATCAACTGAGAGGAGACTTTCGACAAAAACAACCCAGTACAGCTTCTACTTCACACAGCATTTCTGAAGCGATCCAACTAAATGGGCAGCTGCATATTATTTTGATGGAGCAAAAGAAAAAGATTGCAAGGTTTGCTCCCAAAGAATGTCTACCAAAGGCGGCAAACTGTATACTACTGTGACACATGCCCCGACAAGCCAAGGATGCATATTGGAGATTGTTTTGTAAAATATCATACGAAGCAAAATTTTAGAGCATAATGTTTAATACATATGTTTCATTAAGTTAAAAAAAAAATATGTATAATGTTAAAATGTACGAGTTTAAAGTGTTTTATGATGGTGTCTAAAATTATTTTAAGTAACAATAATGAACTCATCATATAAGCGGCAGTTGCTGATTTATCTCAAGTTGCTGGTTCACCCGACAGAAAAGCACCTCGAGAGCAAAGGGTTAAATGTTAAAGTTGATTTTAACTATTAGTTGAAGTTTTTGTGATTTTTTTTTTTTTTTTTTTTTTTTTTTTTTTGACCTTCTCATGGAGTGTAATTGCTATAAATCATTGCCATATTTGGTGACCTAAAGTAAGAACTGCACTGGTGCACCTATACCTCCCTTGGAAGCTGGTTGTGATTTCATCCATGTATGTTGTACAGAAGATTCTTCTCCAGTTATAAAATCTTGTGGTCCAAAACTTATCCAAATGAAGTAAGCTGCAGTTTTTACTTGCTGCTGGAAGAATTTTTGAGCAACCTGGAATGTGATTTTACGGCGGTATTAGATCAGTACAAAAGATTCTCAAGAATATTTTTCTAGAGGTTTTCATCAGTGTGTGTGTAGGTGCTGAAACTGGATTACCTTTTAAAATTATTGTTTTTTTTAATGCATCTAGGATTAAATTTTTTACAACTAGTGGATATGACAAGGGTTCAATGGAATGAGAATTAAACATAAAGCATATAAACCCATGTGTATTATAACACATATATGGGACATGTAGGTTGACTATTGTGGCATGTGTATTAAAAATATGCCAAAAACTTGTTAGTTCCACAAAATACTGAAACTAGATGTGCATATAATTAGAAAGTACCAAAGCTCTTACAGATTTGAAAATTGTCTCATGCTTTTACAATCCTCAAAATATATCATCTTTTTATTTTCTACATATCAAATGATGTTAATAACATCAAAAATAAATTGTCATTTTCTGATTATCTGTGTGTCCACTGAAAAGTTAGAAAAAAGTACTGATGGGGTAATTCACAGTGTCCTCAAAAAGTAATTGTGGGGGAAATCATATCACCAAAAAGATTTATGTATGTTTGAGTACATTTAGATTTGCATTGTTCAAATTAAATATTTAGTTTTTCTTACTGATATTTCTTTTTAAACTAAATATATTTGTTGTTGTGATAATGAATCATAAAGAGACTGCAGAGTCTGCTGGCAATAAAATTATACATCTTAAATGACTGAATTCTATGGAAATGCAAAGTGGAGAATTGCAAGCAAAATATTTGAATGAGGCAATCTTATCAAAATGTCAAAAACTGGAAACGTAAGAAATTAGCTGTCAGTAAATATATCATCAAAATACATATAAGACTAACCAAACAAATATTTCTTTCCAAAGTTGCTAACAAATTTCTAAATGCTCTCAAAAGTTATCAGTGGGTTTATGACTTTTCAGTGAGAGTGCGAATAGTATCAATAAGCCTTTTCATTCAAATGAAGTCAAAACATATTCAAAATGAGAAAAGGTATTTCTTCAGTATATAGTTAATATATCGTATGCTGAAGATGTTGATAGCTATTAATTTATTAACAGAATTTAGTTTATGTAAATTATCATTAAAAACTAAATTTTTTGTCTATTATATCTTATTCTTAATGAGATTGGATTTGGGTTATTTGGAATACAGCAAATATGTGAGGACTGTCTACCCAAAGAAGGGATGTTTTGGGGAAGGACTTTAGGAAAAACTGACTCAATTTCTTATTACACTTAGAGAAAACTACTGAAATTTCCATGCAGCAGGCCGTCTACTGTGATTTGAAAACAGATTCAATTACTCGCAAACGCTATTTTATCGCTTAATTTTATGGGTAAATTTTTTATGAGATGAAGCAGTAATGATTATTAAAATAATTTCAAATTCATATAATTTTGTGAATTTTTGTTTTTGCAGGTTCTTTTAATGGGAAAAAGTGGTTCTGGTAAAACAAGTATGAGATCTATCATCTTTGCCAACTATATTGCAAGAGACACTCGTAGATTGGGAGCAACAAGTATGCACAAATTCTTTTATAATATTAATTTATCATATCTTCATTGTAAGGCATGTGTACAATTTTTTATGGCTAAAATTTCCTTTAATATTGCTGATTTTTTTAATGTCTCATTTGTATAGCAGCAATAAAAATGTATTTACCTTAATTTAGATAATGAAAGTCATCTGAACTAATTTAAAAAGTATTACATATAAATTAAGATCTAATAGCTATTTATTTAGGAAAAGTAACTGAAAAATTATATGCATTATATAGTTAAAAGAATATAAAATATTTATTTTGAATTTTATAAAATATAAAATTTTGGGGCAAAGTTTTATAATAATATGGTTTAAAAAATAAATATTCTGTCAGTGTAATTTACAGCTTTATTTATTTCAGTTATTCTATTAATTGTTTTGTATAACCATCTCTCTCTCAGTGATGGCAAGTTATAATTAATTGAAGGTCATTAAATCATGAAATTTACCATCAGATGAAAGATAGATTTATTAGTCTGCTGTATAAATACTAATGTAGTACAAAGTCCCACATCTGGACTCATTGGAACTTTGGCAATTACGGATTTGGGATTTTTCCAAATATTATATCATCATTGTAAATCAAGTAAGATGACATGTAGAAATTATACAATTAAAAATAGGAAAATGTGGTTTATACAATAATGAGCATTTATGACCTTAAGATAACCAAAATTTAAAGAAAGGCTCAATATTTATTTTTTTGCTTTATTAAACATTTTCTTCAATATAAGTTATTTATGGAATTACCGAAGACCCGATAAGTAATCTTCTAACATCAGATTACCTTTACATGTTTCTTTGTAATTAAATACTTATACTGTGAAATATTAAGTAGCTCAAAAAAGAATGGGGAAGTTATGTAGCATATCTTGTCAATATGGTTTTAGATATATTGACCAAATTAAAAGAGTTAAAAAATGACATCAGTGAACATGTCCAAAAAGAAGAAATAAACAAATCTTCAATTGATAATAATAGTTGGAAATTTAGTCACAATTTTGACTGTAGTTCTGCAAAAGTTATCCATAAAGCTTCTTTGGTGAATTAGTCTTCTTTGAAACTTTTCACACTAAAAAAAGAAAACAAATTCTATAACCAGCGACATTATTCCTAATCCAGTCCTTTCAAATCTTTTGAATTCTAATACTTTTAGAAAGCCCAAGATTGGGACTCTTCGGGATTTCGGTAATTCCAGAATTGTAATTTTTCCCAGATATTAGATCATCGGTTTAAATCTAATAACATGTAGAAATTATAAAATTAATAGAAATGCAGATTATGAAATAATGAAGCATTTATGACTTTAAAGCATCTTTAATTCTAGAGGTAGATATAATTTCTTGTTCAGTTAAAAGTTCCATTCTTTACGTCGTGTAATTGCCTTGTTGAGAGTTCCCACTAAACTGTCAGTCGAAATTTTTTCATTCTCAATAACCTTTTTGTCACTTGCTTCTATTGGTATTGATATTTTCTGGATTAAGAGCCATACTAGCCACATTTTTCTGGCCATATTCATACATCCACTGTCTGTTAGTTGATTGATGATTGGGGCATTATCATCACAATTAGAAACTTCTATGACATCTTCATATATTTTATAATGAAAAAATTTCAAATGAAAATACATGAAGCGTACACACACACATGTACGCGTACAAAAGAAAAAATGTTGTTGATGGTTGAGGTTTGGATTTTATATCATTCTAGATTTGGGACTTCATACTGTAATATGCATTTTATGTGTACTTATTGTAACTGTTTATGGAATTCATTGTTCAAAATGCATATGTTATCTATATAATAGATTTTAATCTTATTCATATGACAGTAGTCACATGTCTATTCATAATTTTTAATAATACATTTTATTTTATTTAAATGTAAGTATGTTAATTAATTTGAAACAGATGGTGTCTCAAAATTTGCTCCTGAAATTTTAAACCCACTTCAGTTTCAGATTCCAGTACATTTATGTTACAGTATTTCTTTACTTATTCTGTTCTGGGACTTGTATATAAAAATTTTCACGTTGAGAAAAGTGCTATACCAGTCTTGCAAAATGAACAGCAGACAGATTTTAATTGAGATTCTAAAGGAACCACTTCCATCAAATTAACTTCGGCCAATTAGAAGTTATAAAGAAATTAATATTTGCTGTAAATTTATATTTCATTGATAGAGAATGTTGAGTTCCCTGTAGTAATAATTTAATTATTTTGAAAGCTTTCAATTTGGAATAGTTGTAAATCTCATAGTTTTCTTTCTAAGGTAAAAGCTCGTAGATTCATTAGGTTTAGTCATATATACAGAGACCACTTACCTGAAAAATCAGAGAAAGCGACTGGCTTTGACAAGTCAAGGAAAATTAGAACATTTTTCTCAAAAAATCTGGGAAATTAGGAAAGTGTACCACATCAAACTTATCACATAGTAAATAATTCATGATTTGAAAAGTAGCCAATTAAAAAAAATTAAAAAAGAGGGCGAATAAGGAATTATAATCTTTGTTCTTGTGTATGGAAATTATTTGACCCACTTGATGTGTGGTTACTTACATATCAACTCAATGACCTCGACTCAATTTTGTAATTTTTTGCAGATGAAAAGGCAGGAATTACTTCTCAGGTGCAAGTCGGTGGTTTTTGCAACTTGTTTTTAAAAGATTACCAAAGTATCCACATTTTTTGTAAATCGGCAAACATTATCAACATATGTAATGGAAACATATTTTAGCAATTTTAATTTCAAACAAGGATTTCCTGATAATTAAAAAAAATTAATAAAACACATTCTTCTCTTAATCTTTCTTTAATGTTTTTGTTATTGTTCTTCCTAAGTACATAGCAATTTTGAAAAAAATTGGGAATTGCAGAAACTCAACACTGTGCAAACTTCAGCAACAACATATATCTTACCAAATGATTATCCTGATTGTTCACTTTGGAAATTTTGCGTCAAAATTCTGTATTCGTGCAGAAATTTTATCGCAGTTTCTTCCATTCCGGCCAAATTCCATAAGTGCATATTTTAAATGTGAGACTAAAAATATCACGGTTTGTTCATAAAAGTCAGTAAAATACAACAGAAAAGATAAATACAAAAATGGCGATGTTGCTTGACTGAAGGAATGTTGTAAGCATGGTTGGTTGCTAAAGAATGGTTATACGCATGGTTCCCAGTGTTTGGCACATTCTGATAATTTGACATCTTCTGCTAAAGTGGTTGTGATAACACATAAGTACTGATATCTGCTAAATTTTAACAAGCCATAGCTGTCCTCTCAACCTGTTAATAAGCCATTCATTATTCCCTTGTTTAGAAATGTAGATGTGTTGTCAATCCGATATTGCAACCACCTTAACAGAAGTTTGCCAAACTCTTCCACTCTTTTAACCATGTGTATTACATTTCCTTAGGTAACTATATCCATTGAAAGTTGCAACTTAGAAATTCACCGAATCACCACTGGTGAATCGGTTGAAGTTTGCTCTTTGGTGAATGATTGGCAGAGTTTGGCAAATTTTAAAATTCTTCTCTAAAAATTGCCAAACAGCACCAAGGTGGTTGCACTGATATGCAGGTACCGTCAATCTTATATTCAGAAGTGTAACTTTTACTTCGTAATTAAATGAGATAAATTCGATTTTAAAATGCTTTTAGTTATTTTATATATTTAATAGTAAATCCATAGATTTATTCAGATACTCTTCTTTAATTTGATAGCTAGGATCATCATGTTTGGTCAGGGAAATTGTTTCGGTTTAGCTATGCAAAATTGGTGAAAGTCAGACAAATTAAAAGTTAAATTTCTGCCCTGCCATTTTGTAGACATGTAACAAAGATGCAGATGAAACAATTTGAACAATGAAGATTAGAGTAATATGAGGATTATAATAAACAACTAGCCATAACTCTCTTAAGAGAGATATACCTGATATTTCACCATCAGTTATCTTATTGGTATCATCAGAGTAATATGATGCTGAAATTACATGAATCTGTTCAAAACAGTGGAAAAAGACTAGTACTAAATTTGGGAAGAAGTATAATGATTAGTCTACTCTGTATGTTTTTTATTATTTCATAAAATGCTTAGCCATTACTCTCTTCTTATGCAATAAATGCAGTGCAACTTTTTTAAAAAATAACCTTTTTTTCTGTATTTGTAAATTATTTAACACATTAATTATTGTTTAATTTAGTTGATGTTGAACATTCTCATGTCCGTTTTTTGGGTAACCTTGTTTTAAATTTATGGGATTGTGGAGGACAAGAGGCATTTATGGAAAATTACTTTGCAAGTCAAAGAGACAATATTTTCAGAAATGTAGAGGTAAATTTTTCTTTAAAATATTTGCTGCTCAGAAGTTTAATCTTATTTTGTTTCCATATATGATGCTTATTCTTCATTTTAGGTCCTCATATATGTATTTGATGTAGAATCTCGTGAATTAGAAAAAGACATGCATTATTACCAGTCATGTCTTGAAGCAATTTTGCAAAGTTCTCCTGAAGCAAAGATCTTCTGTCTAATACATAAAATGGATTTAGTACAAGAAGACCAGAGAGATCTGGTAAGTCTTTTTCATGATTTTTTATTAAGATCTGAAAAATTAATCATTTAATACCTCTGTGTCATAATGAGATGAAAGAAACTGTTGATTCACATTTCTTTTTAAGCACTCTAAATGAGAAGTACATGATGCGGGAAATTCACTCATTATAATTGTACTGTCATCAAGTATCGACCCCGATCTATATATAAACTCCAAACATTCAAAGGAGTTTTCACTTTGAATATTACTTTACCTACTGAAAATATAAAAACTGAAATACATACCTAAGAAATCTTTCTGCCAGCAATCTATTGAGTATCATGATCAAATGACATTCCATACTAGTTAACCTTTAAACCTTGAAAAACTCCCTAAACTGCATTTTAAACTTGAATTTTTTGTACAGTCAAAAGTCTTTAATCCGGACTCGTTGGGACTTTGGCGATTACGGATTATGGATCATCAGTTTAAATCTGATAAGATGGCATGCAGAAATTATAAAATTAAAAATATGAAACCGTAATTTATGAAATAAAGAGCAATTATGATCTAAAGGGTATCAAAGTTTACAAAAAAAAACTTAATATTTATTTGTTTACTTTATTAAACATTTCTTCAACGTGTGCATGCGTAAAGCATACATTGCGCATAGTCGAAATTAGAAAATTGCAATTAGAAAACTATTTGATGTGTATTCGTGATAATTATAATGACAAGGAATTTGATTTAAATCATATGAAAAACGGAGTACATCGAAATGAAGTACTACATTTAATAAGGAATTATAAGCCAAATAAAATAAAAACATCTGCCCTGAAGATAAGGATAGTGTTGACAGATCAACTTCCAGTTCATTGCCCCCCCCCAGGGCAGCGTGAAATTGATAAACATATTTCGGAATGGTTAGAGAATCAAAGGATATGCCTTTATCCATTTTTGCAGCAATTCCACTTTCTGTTTGATGGGCATCGAAACATGCTTTCGCTTTGTAGATCCTTTGGTAGCTCCAGAATCGGAAATTCTTTTTGACATAATTGAAAGTTCAAGCTTACTTGAGTTCAAGCAATTTAGAATTTGGAAAAAACTTGGCATCTTTTCATAAAAAGTCAGATTTTGTATAAAAATAAGTATATTAAAACAAGGCTATATAAATCTTATATGTATCCTAAATCATGCTTTTGAGGAATGAAAAATGCAAGTTGAATTTCGTCAATGGGCGTAGAAGAACAGGAGATGTAGAGAACTGTCCTTTCCTTTTTTTATTGTGGATGGGGGACAGAGTGTACCTCAAATTTCTATTGATTACACTTTATAATTCAAATGTACTGACAAGTAAATATTAAATTTTCAGTGTGACATTTGTTTGATGTAACTAATATGTTGAATTAACCACCAAATAACTTCCTTGAACTAAAAAATAAGCAAGTAACAAAAACTTTTGATGTTGGACAAAACTTGAGAACAAATAATGATAACATATTCTCTTTCTTTTATTTATTAAATTTCTGTTTGATATGTGCAAAAAATACAGACATTTGTATATAAGTAATTATAAACTACTTTTTTTCTTACTGCAACTTTTAATTACTTGATTAATTTAATTTTAACTCTTGGCATTCCATTTTGATAAAATTGGTAAACTTGGAGAAAATTATCAGAAATGTCATCACAAATTGTAGATGCTCATTAGTCAATCAAATTCTTTTCTTAGATGTATTAATTTTCATCTGTGGAAAAAATTGTTCACCTAATGTTTGTTCTCCCCAAAAAAAGCTATTTTTATTGCAAAAATTCATAACTGATGATATTTATATTTTGACTAGAAGGGGGGGAAAAAAAGGTTAATCAAATCTATATCTTCAAATCTTTGAATAAGATTTATATCATAGTGAGAAGTAATTAGCATTATAGTAGATTTTCAAAAGTGTTTTTCACATTCATTTTTATTTTTAATGATAATAAAAGTAATCCAAATTATTAAAATCTTAAACTTTTCGTCAAATTGTCATAATAATATTAATTTGTGGGAAATATATTCAATTCATTTATGCAATAATTCTTTAATATGTATCATTTCATTGAAAATTCCTAATATGTTGAATTAATGTTTTTAGATCTTTAGGGAAAGAGAACGAGATTTGGAGAGATTATCTCGACCTTTGGAATGTATATGCTTTCGTACTTCTATATGGGATGAAACCTTGTATGAAGTAAGTGTTTTATTTAAATGAAGTTTATTCGGCAATTTCATGTCTTATATATTTGAAAATCTGCAATAGGATCACTGTTTAAAATCTAAATAAGAATAAAAGGTAGAATACTTTCTGCATGTCATTTTGGCTGAAAAACATCTATCTGAAGTATTTGTGCATAATATATTTTTTGATCCATAATGTAGAGCAAACTTGGCAGCCAAGGCAGATTAAATATTCATTTTATTTCAATAAACAGTTTGTTGCCACAAACAAGCTGGCACAATAATTTACCTTTTCAAGAACATTAACATTTTTGATGTTGTTGCAGTAGGAAGGAAGTGGCGAGGCAGCATCTTAGTGAGAACAGAGGTAGAAGCAAAATGCATATTTGCCCAATATGGTAGCTTATTAAAAGAAAGGTTTTGGTTCAGGTTCTGAATTAGCTACATCATCATTGTTATGTAAAAGTCATATGATGAATTAATCTAGAAATGGTGCAGTCCAGAAAAAGTCATTACTATTTTTAGAAGAGAGAAAATGAGGAATTAAAGGGCTATTGCTAATTTGAACTCTAATTTAAATTCACACATTTTTATCTTATATATTACATGCAGATATTTTTGGCAGTGGTAGAGTATTTTGCTCTATTGCTGCCAAATTAATTATGAGAATAATTTGCAAATTAAATTAATACTTATTCCTCTGATCAGCTTCACTGCTTCATGTATCTGTTTAAAGGAATTTTTTAATACTGTTTTTAGAGCATCCAGTTTTTATGAACGAATAGATGAATTTATCTGGTTGTAATGAAAGTTTTCTGCCAAAAAACATTCTTAATAAAGTTAGAAAAAAAAAAGGTAAAGCAGTACCTTTAGTGCCCATAGTAACCACTACCAAAATCTATGATTTTCTGCCAACGTTATGGTAGTTTTTCAAATTTGGTGGCCCCAAGTTCAAAAACATTAAATTTCACAAAATTCACATCATCTCATTTTGGATGTCCAATGCAAAATAGAAGATAGCACTAGCAAGATGTAACTGCAGTGTGAAAAAAGATAGAAGTCCAAAGGAGCGATGTTGGGCTATATGACGAGTATGGCAAAATATGCCATATAGAATCCAGCCGGTGAATGCAGACACATCTAGTCTTGCATTAACTTGATAGAACATTACCTTCTTAACTCACTGGAACTCAGTTCAATGTTTTTCTTTGATAACAGCATCAACAGGGACTAGCATCCCGCTGTATACTGCTGAAGATACTTTTACCAAATACACTTTATGGATAATACCATGCAATCCCACTAGATACAAAGCATGTTCTAGTGGGATTGCCATTGTTAGTCAAATCACGCTTTGCGGCGCTACTAACAGAATTCACCAGGTCCAGGCCAACCCTTTCTTCAGCCTGTGTTGGTGAAGTAAATCCACTTTTCATCACAAAACACTCCAGTCGATTTCGTTTCGACACTCCAGTCGAAAATTTTGTCCTTACGTTGATATTCGAGCAGATTAATGCAGGCTGAACATGTCTGTCCTTATCTGCTTGAGTCTGCTCATGTGGCACCCAGCGATTGAACTTGTACATCAAGTTTATCGAATGCATAGCACAACAAATGGACATGTCACTAGCATCAAACTCCTTAGCAAGCTCTCAAGTGATTGCATACTGATCTTCTTCCACAGGTTCTCGCAGGCGGGCCTCATCAACATCGGTAAGCCAGCCAGAGCACTCTGCCTCTTGAATGTCATAGTCCTTGTTTTTGAACTTTCGGTACTAAACCTTCATAGTGTCATATGATACAACATTAGTACCTAAAGCTATACATGTGATTTTGTAATATTCTGTTGCTGTTTGCAATAGAACTCGAAGTAAGATAGTTCCGTTTCAGACACCTTTCAGATAATATTTTTTTACAAATTTCACAAAACTAAAGTTCTAAAGCAAGTCAATGCCAAAAATTGCTTGAAAAAATATAATTAAACATGCCAATGCAAACTGTTTGCGCAGACAATATTTGCACTGGGGGGGGCGAACTTTCGTTATAACCAGTTATTACTATTATCAATAATTTAAATATTACAAGTCATTTAAGTGGCTTTAAAAGTAAAAGATTAGCCTATTTATCAAATGTTTAAGTTAAAGATTGTCATCTCAATAAATAAAAGCATTTTGTTATCTGTTATCTTATTGAAAATGGTTAATAATGTAAAGTGGAGCTCAGTACATTGTGTTATTATAATCCAAAAATTATTATAATGAAGTTCAGCATTTGGTATTTTTTATATGAAATTATTTTTTTGACTTTTAATAAGGAATGAAAGTATGTGCATAATTTCTGTTTTAGTAACATATATATGCAATTTTAGATAGAGGGGAAAATTCATATGGTCTACTGCTTATTTATTTTAAATTTTAAAACTTGAAAGAAGTAACTAAAAAATGAAAATTTTCTGCTGTTTTTGAAATATAATCATTCTTTTAATTATTATATATTTTACTATGTAAAAAAGCTTTCTGATAGTTATTGGTAATAATTATTAAAACAAGAAAACTTCTTGATAAGAAAAATTATTCCTATATTTTGTTCTTTTAAAATGTAATTGTATAATATAAGCTTGTAATCCGTTTCTAAACTGATCTTGATGAATTACACAGTGATTATGTGATTTGCATTGTCTGTCCCAGCTTTAATAAAAACAAGGGAGTTATGATGGTTACAATTTCAAGAGTAGCTAGAATCTGATTCAGATGAAAAACAATTAGCAATAGCAAGGAAGAAAAGAAGGGGTTAATAAAAAGTATTCATAAGAACAGAAAAGGACAACTTTAAAATTTTGCAAGAAGATCATTTAATTTCATAATTGTGATATAAATTATTTACACCTGTGAGGATTATAATTTTAATAATCAAAAATTTTAATTCAGTGCAAATTAATAAAAACATTTTAGTTATTTATTTTATGAAAATTTTGTGATATATTACTTCCTATTTTAACATTCTGCCTCTGGAAATATTTGTCTTGCCATCTGTCATTGTCTTAAGAGCAAATTATTACTTACTTCAGGATCTTATTTTGTTTAAAACTGACCTTAGTTTTTCAAGTACTACAGTTGATATTTCATGTTAGTGATGTATATGTCTCATTGTTGTTATCTTGTGGAATAAGGTGTTTTTTCGTTTGTTTGTGTGAAAAGTAAATTGATGAATTAAATGTGACAGTTTCAGAGAGCTGTAGCTACTTAGCATTATTTCAGATTGTAACTCTCTCTCTCTCTTTTTTTTTTTTTTTTTTTTTAAGGCATGGTCTTCTATTGTGTATAAACTTATTCCAAATGTTCAACAACTTCAGGCAAATCTGAAGCAGTTTGCAGATATAATAGAGGCTGATGAAGTTTTATTGTTTGAGAGAGCTACATTTTTAGTATGTATGATTCTCATTTTTAGTTTAAGAATTCCTAAAAATATTTTGAATGAAATTAATAGGTTTTTATAGTAAAAAATGTTAAAAACAATTATTTGAAATCATTACAAGGAGGAAAAAATTAGTCTTACTGCATATAGCCTTATCAGATTCTAATATTTAACCCTTTTATGGGTGGTATGTAAAATAATTTAAATTGTGGTAAAATTTTGCATGAACTATAACTTGTGGATCCTAAGGACACAAAATTGAGACTTAAAAAAAATCTAGAGTGAAATCCTGAATTTTGAGAGCCGGTATATATTTTATACCGGTGCCCCTCTAAGACATTTTTTTCCCAGGTAGCTGCCAATTGTTAATTTTTGTTTTTTAAATTAATTTTGCGTACTTTTGATGTGTGTCAGCTGTGAAATTACTTTATCTATACTATATTGATCTTTACTAAAAATCACAATCAATATCTACATATAACAAGAAAATTACATTTGAACCCTTATAAACACAATTACACCATTGTATTTTCTTAAACTGTAGATTTTCTAAAGTACTTTCAAATTCACAAAACCATTCATGGCCGCTTTGATGTAGACCGTAAATGGCCTTGTGTAGTAAACACACTTTATTTTTCTCTTCGATAAATCCCTTGGTTGGGTCATATAATTTTCCATTTAGGTTTGCATATAAAATATGTGTCTTTACATCTAACTGACAATTAGTCATCCATATAAACATACCAGTATAGTGAAAAATATTCTTATGATTGAAAAATTTACTACAGGACTGTAAACGTCATCAAAATCTTCACCTCTTTTCTGCCTGAATCCCTGAGTTACTAAACGTGCTTTGTATTTAACCACTTCATTCTTTTCACCTCTTTTTAATGTATAGACTCAATTTTTTCCTAGCATAGTTTTATATTCTGGCTTTTCGACAAATTCCCAAACCTTTCTTTTCTTCATTGTGTCAATTCCTTCTTTCATTGCCTCATCCCATTCTTCGGCAATTACTGATTTTCATGCTTCTTTAAAATTTTGTGGGATAACAATTACTACGGAATTTGCCTCTTCAGACACGGAGCTAGTCTCCTGTTCTACAAAATTAACTTTCCCCGAGTATTTTGTTTTTTCCACTAAAATCGAACTTATCTTTTTCATATTTAATATTTCTGCCTCGCAATACTTTTCAATATCATTATAGGATCTAAAACGAGTGTCTGTTCCCTCTACATAATAATATATGTCTGTATGTGTTTCGTCTGGCCTTTTAACTGCTTTTCTTTGCCAGTTTTTGTCTGATACTTCTTTCGGGGTAGATTTGTCATCTGACAACTTGATTTCTTCTCTAGAAGTTTCCTGTTCTTCATCTGATTCTGCTAATAGCTTAGATTCCTCTAGTCTTTTAAACTTAGTTTTTGATTTCTTATCCAGGATGCCATTTGCTACATTGTTTTTCATTAAAGTTCACATTACAGGTTTCTATTAATCTGCGTTCTTCTAATAGCCACATTCGATAACCCCTTTAGTTTCCTTCGCATATCCTACCATGATTCCTTTCTTTGCACCTCATTTATAATTTATTTCTAATCTGTTTTGGCACACCAACATAGGCTTTTACAACCAAATATTTTAAAATAAACAACACTGGGTTTTCTTATTTAGGACATTTCATAAGGGGTTCAGGTTGCTTTTATGACATACTTCTGTTCCACGTATATGTACGAAAACAGCCAAGAGCTTCTGCCCACCATTCTATTCCCATTTTACCATCATCAAGCATAGCTTTAACTGTGTCTTATGCCGTTCGGTCAAAACGTTCACACACACTGTTCCCTTCTGGGTGTATTCATTTGTGCGTTCAACACTAATTCCATTTTCGGCTAAGTACTCATCAAATTGCCTGTTACAGAATTCCCCACCATTAACAGTGTGTATACTTATTAATTTTCTATTCGTCAGTTGCTGATGAATATAAGGAAGTTAGAATTTTTTTTTAAATTATGAACATGTTTCATGTGTTCATAATTATTAATTAAACATGTATTATTAATTAAATGTGTTTCATTGCATATCGATCAATATTTGTATGAATTTATAACCGTTTAACAAGCCAAATTTTGGGATTCAATGAAAAGAATTTTAAAATTAGATAAAACTATTTACCAAAATGTTGAATTTGAAATTAAAGATCTAAAAAATTCATAATATTATCTAGACTTCTCTTTTTTTTTTTTTTTTTTTTTTTTTTTTGCGCTACAAATTAATATTAGCATCATAGTATCTTCTCTTAAATCCGATATTTGATAGGTTGATTTAATATATATAGTAGGTATATATATATCAAATTCTTGTAGGTTCATTAATTTGTCTGATTTACATACGTCAAAACTGATATATTAAACGTTACTTCCAAAGGGAAATTAAAAGTGGACAAGTAATGTTAAAACTAAATAAGAGAAAATTCAAATTAAACTCAGTTATTACACTTCTTAAAATTACATCAGTAAATATGAATGGTAATTTCAGTAAATATGAATGGTGTTGATAATTGGTGTTGTTCAGTAAATATGAATGGTGTTGATTTCAGTAAATATGAATGGCTGAGTTGAACTGGATGACTGATTAGCTGTTGGCGCTGGGCCCATAACCCTGTTGGACTTGGTGATAAGGCAAAGCATGTTTGCTCCCTTAAATAAAGCTAAGACTAAAAAACAAAATTCTTGCTTTATTTCGTAAAATAAGTTAACGCTGTAGCCTTTACATTTAAAACCATTTGAGCGAAAGCAAACTAGCATAATGCTAACTCATAATACCAAAACATTTGCCGATACCGGCGTACATATATATAATACTTCGCCAAACCGCCAATCTTGACATCATCAGCCGATCAGCGGCAACCACGTTAGCTTATCCTCGATTGACCTTCGATCAAAATTTGCATGAGGAGAACTTAAAGCCAACAAACGGCCCTCTTTTCCTCATGCACAGACTAACTTGCACGGAATTACAGAAGTTCATAGTTCAATTCTATTATACGAAAATTACTAATTCAGTTAATGTGCAGTTTGTGTGTTTCTTTAATCTTCGAATTGGATCTGGCTTATTATTTTTTGCAGACTGTAGAGCAATTTATAAAAGTAAGTGCTTCGATTATGTCAAAAAAATTTCCGAATATATTACTATATTAAAGGACTACAAAAGCGAAAGTTTTGAAGTCCATTAAACAAAAAGTGAAATTTGCTGCAAAAAAGGATAAAGGCAATCCTTGTTTTCTAATATTCGAAATCTGTTTATCAATTTCACGCTACTCCTGCGGCGGGGAAGGACCCGCGGCGTGCGAGAATTGGAATTGATCTGTCAGCACTATCCTTATCTTCAGGGCAGATGTTTTTATTTTTTGGCGTATAATTCCTTACTAAATGTAGTATTTATCTCGATGTACTCCGTCTTTGATATGCTTACTCAAATCCTCGTCATTATAATGCTCTCCGATAGTGAAAGAAAGGACACAGAAGTATTGAAAACGAAAAATTTGATTGACATTAGTCGGTATTCTTGACACAGCAATATAGGACTTGAAAAGCAAAACTTGTAATGAAGAAAAAATTATGTCTTTTATAGAATTAAAGAGAAAGTATTATCACATAAAACGAAGCATTGAACAACTTACACGAAAGAAAGTTTAATAAAGTAAACAAATAAATATTAAGCTCTTTTTTTTTTTTTTTTTTTTTTTGTAAATTTTGATACTTTTTAGATCATAATTGTTCTTTACTTCATAAATCACGGTTTAATATTTTTAATTTTATAATTTCCGCATGCCATCTTACCAGATTTAAACTGATCTATAATCGGGCAAAACTGATGATCCGGAAAGTCCCGACGAGTCCGGATTAACGACTTTTGACTGTATAACACTGCATGCGTAAATAGTATCATGCTGTAACTGAACTGGTATAATATTACAAACAGATGTAACTCAGCCGAAAATTTTTAAAAAATTGAAAAATGAAACACTCTGACTTAGCTGAGAAAGTATGTTGCATTTCTGACATGTTATGCTTTAAATATTATGTGGAAAAAAAACATGAGAGGGACCTTAAGTGCCTTTCCATTTTAAGTGAGCTTTCCCTTTGTGTGATCTTATCACACTACACAAAGGGAAGAATGCGGGACTCTCAAATGACAAATTAGTTGTCAATCACCTGTTTTCATTTTCCTTGCAGTCTAGGATTTTGGAAAACAGGAAGCAACGGGTGTCTTTTGGGCGCTAACATATCACATTTAACCCCCACAACTGTGTAAAGTTTTTACCCTGGACGGCAATTTTGAAATCGATGAGTCTTTATCTTGGGAAAGGGATAAGTGCTGAAATAAAAATTTTAGCTAAACACAGATGAATGAAACTCGAGCTGAGTAAACAAAGAATAAATGAAACTAATATACTTGTATTCAGTCTTAGTGCATACTCAGTAAACTCACCATCTCTTCATGAACATAATATCAAATCCTAAATAACTTGTAAATTAATCATGAAAAATTATTACGTCATAAACTGTTATAATAATAAAGAAATTCTGTCATGTCACAGAGTAGAAAAGGAGAAGACTGGCGTTGCCATCTATTGGCGTGGTACCCCAGTGATACCGGTTTTAAATCGTATAAATATCTTCGGTAATTCTCCTTGACTGAAATGAAGTAAATATAAATTCAGCATGTACATCATATATTTGCAGATTTTGAATTTTTTCTTCTCCTCCAATAGAATTTTTATCAATCTTCAAACATGATACCTTGGAACGAGGTATATTAATTTCATAACTTCAAAATATTGAACATTCATAGCATGGTTACGATTATAGCTTTTTGTGTCGAAAAATTAGCATTTTTTAGGAGGTTAAAAATTTACAAACAACCAGTATACTTTATATGCCGGTGCACTTTAAAGGGTTAAGCAGAAAGTTTTTATCGATGCAGGAAACATAAAAAGTGCAATACCATCGTCAGAATTCGAACTGCAAACCTTCCAAATATGTGTTTATTCAGCTTCCAGTTACAACATAAAGGTATGTGGAAAGGAGGGGAAAAATACCTTACATACACTCCCTTTTAAAGGGCAACTGGGGAGGAGGGGACCCAGTCGCCAAATCCTGGTGGTAACAAATTATCGTCCTTCACCATTTATTAATTTGGGCATCACTGTAGAATCATTTGGGATTTTGATGCAGGAGATGTGAAAATGTATGATGCCCCTTGCTGGGACTGAAATCCTAGACTTCTCGAATGCGCTTTGAGTATACTTCCATTTCCACCCTGAAGGCATGCGCAAAGGAGGGAGAAAACATTTCAGCATATTTAAGCACCTTCTATGTAAAATCCTGGATTTGATACAGTAACATGAATAGAATTGTGTTAGAAATCTATAAAAAACTATTTATTATTAAATATTAACCATGTATATAAAATATGTATTTTATGTAACATTACTTCAGTACTTTAAAGCATGCAGATAAAAATTTAGTATCCAAATAGGTATTCTCATAATTTAACCAAAAAAAGTATTGGTTCCTTTGCACCCAGAATTATTTATTATTCGATGCCCATGATATTTTAAATAATTTATTTAATATCAGCTTTTAATTTAGCATTATTTATCTTTCTTGCTCTTATCATTGTTGTTAAATTCATTCATTTTTAAAATTTTGATATCTCTTTTACTGATGTAAAAATGTGCACAAAGTTAAGAAATTTAAGAAATCAGTCTGATTCTGCAATAATTCTAACAATATTAGTTCGCAATATTAAATATGAACTTGTCGCACTTTCTCTTTAAGCTTATGCCACCAGTAACAAAGTGTAAATACATAAAATGTTGGTAGTTTATCTTAAGTTCTATTTCTAATTCTTGAAAAGAGTGACTGTATGGGATAGTTGTGGTTTCCTCACAAATTTAAGTAAATATCAGTCAGATTTTATAGAAAGTCCTTTCTCTTCTCTTAGGCAAGTAGCCTTACTATATTTTCCCATTATTAAATTACCTGTGTATATGGTAGACAGGAATTTTCCAATTTGAAGCACAGAACAGTTCAGATATGGATATTAAGTATGCATGATAATGATTGCATGGACAGATGCGGAATTATAGGGTTACACAAGTTGCAACTGAAATTGCCAGATCAATTTCTAAATTAAAAGAAACAATAAATATACATTATTCTTAAGATGAGGGGCATACAGAAGTTTTTTAAATGTTTATTTTTAATATAGCTTTTTAGAAAGATAAATACATACTTGAAACTGTAAAAATCTATTATTAATGAATTAGCTTACACTTTCTTACAATTTGAGACAAAATTCAAATTATGAAACTGCAAATAACTGAAATATTATTGTTTAATATGCTAAATTTCAGTGATGGAAAAATTAAATGTTCTTTCATTCTCTCATAATAACAAATCAAGTAAAAATTAAATAGCTATATTTTTATTGATATAATGTATAATGATATTCATAAATTTTGCATGATGTTAGATTGAAATACTTTAGAAAATAATATGTATTTATGTATTAGATGTTTTGTTTACTTACAGTCTGATTTTTTAAAGTTTAGTTTTATATCAGTAATGTGATACAAATATAACATTTTATAAAATGTTTAATGTAATAAATTTGTCTGTACATATAATATGAATACATCCAATTATAAATTTTGCAGGTAATAGCACGTGCTGAACGGAAAGAACACAGAGATGTTCATAGGTTTGAAAAAGTATCAAATATCATCAAGCAGTTTAAACTAAGCTGCAGTAAAATTGCTGCTCAATTTCAAAGTATGCAGCTTTCAAATGGGATATTTTCTGCGTATATTGATGTTTTCACACCCAATACTTACGTGATGGTCGTAATTTCAGATCCAAATATAAGTGAGTTTTATTGCATTTTTAATAATTGATTGAGCATGTATTAATTTTCAGCTTTTAAACTGAGTACATATCTTCATATATTTATATATTCTGTAAAAGAAGAGAGTTTTGTGACTTAAAAAACTAAACTTTGTAGAACAAAATCTAGTTTTTAGGGTATGCATTTTTATGTATGCAAATTTAACTAGTAACTTTCTGCCGTTATATGCATATTTTAGAATACATAATTAGCATGAAGCCAATTTAGTGTGAAGAATATTTACTATTGTCTTTCTGTTTTTCTGTTTCTTTCATTTTTTGCCAAGTACAAGCAATTTACATCCAGTTAAAATAGTAATGGTCATTTTGTACCCTTTCCTTTTGTGCCCACTTGTGGTTTTATTTGCTAAATAACAGACACCAGAATTTCATTCAGGCAACCCTGTGCTTTGAATCAAATGACATTACTTTTTGTTTCTAAGATCAGTCATCAATATTCTTTAGTAAGAAATTTATTTACCAACTGCTTTCTCTAACATCTGTCACAAAATTACATCTTTTTATAAATACTTACAACTAAAAGATTTTTAGCCAAAAAAAAAATGGCTACACTGTTTTAAATAGTACAACCATACTACACAGTAAAGACAAAGTTCACTACCTAATTCAAACACTGTCATTTCTTCATAATGGTAGCATTTTGAAACTCTTAAGCACATTTTTAATTTTTAGAAATAGAGGAGTAACTACAATAAGTAATATTTTGATTGTTGACTTATATTTGTAATTATCCATAACATTTAAATGTGATTAATTTCTAGATTTATCAGTTGTATTTCTTATTGTATTTTTTACTTTTAATTTTATTATTATTCTTCATTTTTGAAAAATTTCTTTTTCACTTTATGTAAACTGTTAATAAATTTACAAGACCCATTTAACATTGAGAAATTATTCTAAATTAACTGAGAATTAATTATTTTTTTAAAAATAAATAGGAAGGGCAGAAACATTTATAAATGTTCCCTAATTATTGAATGATCAAATAAAAAAAGGCTAATGCCCTTGACAATGTCAGCATTGTTTCATTAAATCAATAATTAATTACTAAATTATTAATTTTTTATTTAATTCAATTTCACTTTATCTTTTTACAAAATTTTTTGCTGTGAACTTAATTTATGGTAGTATTTCCACACTCCATTATTTTTACAAATAATCCAGGTTTAATAAATCTACAGTTTTCTAAATTAATTTAATCTTAGCTGCATTATCACTAGATTTTAGTTTTGAAAGTCCACATTATACACACTTTTAGAATTTATTTTTGAGTGCATAACACATTTTAATAAATTTTAGAATGCAGTATTTTTTTCCTTATTATGTGCTCTGTTCTTAGGCAAAAAAAAGGGAGGGATGCCATGTGGAGGCTTTTTAAGGGAAAATGTCTCGTATCCACGTTACGCATCGGGAAAACCACGAAAATTCCCATGCAGCCAGCCCGTACACCAGGATTTGAACCCCGAACTGAACAGCCAGTGTTCAGCGGCTTTTAACGATCGGCCGCTGCGCAGTACAGTCAAAAGTCTTTAATCCGGACTCGTCGGGACTTCAACGAATCCGGATTATAGATCATTACTTTAAATCTGGTAAGATGGCATGCAGATATTATAAAATTAAAAATATGAAACCATAATTTATGAAATAAAAAGCAGTTATGATCTAAAGGGTATCAAAATTTACAAACAAAAAAAAAGCTTAATATTTATTTGTTTACTTTATTAAACATTTCTTTCAATGCGTGCATGGGTAAAGTATACATTACGCATAGTCGAAATTAGAAAATTGCAACCAGAAAACTATTTGATGTGTATTCGTGGTATTTATAATGACAAGGAATGGAATTTGATTTAAATCATATCAAAGATGGAGTACATAGAGATGAAATACTACATTTAGTAAGGAATTATAAGCCGAATAAAATAAAAACATCTGCCCTGAAGATAAGGGTAGTGCTGACAGATCAACTTCCAGTTCATCGTGCGCCACGACAGTCCCCCCCCCTTGCAGAGTAGCGTGAAATTGGTAAACAGATTTCGAAATGATTAGAGAAACAAATCACCTCTCTGTCACTTTTTTCATGCCTTTATCCATTTTTTGCAGCAGTTCCACTTTTTTTTTAATGGACATCGAACATGCTTTCGCTTTGAGATCCTTAGGCAGCTCCACATCGGAAATTCTATTTGACATAATCGAAAGTTCAAGCTTACTTTTATAAAATTGCTCTAACAGTCTGCAAAAAATAATAAGCCGGATCCAATTCGAAGATTAAGGAACAACGCAATCTGCAACATTAACTGAAATAGATAATTAGATAATTTTAGCTTAGCGTATACCGTCCGTTATACATTAAACACGCATGCGTAAAGGTATTATGCGAATGAGTAAACGCCTATGTGCATGCGTTAACGCATTATGCATTGACGCATGCGCAGAAAGTTTTTAGCTTTCAGGTCCGGATTAACGACTTTCGACTTTTCTAACATTTAATTGGATTAAAATATTACTTAAATTGAATATGGAATTAAAAACATCATACCAACGTTTAAAAGAATTAAAATATGACTTAAATACTTTAAATAAGTTTATAGGATTTAATTACTAACATAATGACATATGCGGCAATAATACTCAGGATTTTTGAAAACATTGTATTAATTTTAATAAAATTGAGTATACAATTATGAAGTTTAAAAGAAAATTATGTACTCACATTTTTAATCTGTCGTATATTGATAAGTACCAAAAAAAAAACGCCGCTAACGATCTTCATCTGTGTGATCCACATCTCTCCACACTTCATTAAAGATTCTATTTGACAATTCCAGGTTTTCTCCCAAAAATTTAAAATAATTTTCCTCTGACGCTATTAAACAATTTAAAATAATCTTGATAGGAAAGCAAGGTTGGCCAAAAATAGGTCTCAAAACAGCAATTTTTTTATTCTGATACCAATAATCTTGGTAATTACCAATAACACATTCATATTCGAAACAGACACATCCATTTGCTTTGAAATCTGAGGAATTCGAAGAGATGAATAATAAAATTTTAAAATGGTGCGGTAATGCACAAATATTCAGTAACCAATCAGGAAGCTGATTACATAGAATTAAATATTTAAATAATCATTAAGATAGAATTAAAATTATTAAAATATAATTTAGACGGATAGAATTAAAATTATTTAAATAATCATTCATAATAAAATCACATTTAAAGAATGCAAAATTAAAGTGTATTTTAATATTTAACACCCATAAATAATGTTTAAAACATTAGACTAAATTTATAGATATTAAAACCAATTACTTTTAAAATAATGTGACGTCACATCATAAAATATCATGAACAATAAAACTTTTATTTCAAATAAAAATGCAAAATTAAATTCATTTTTATTATTTTGAAGTCATAAATAATATTTAAAACACGGAATTTATGCATAATAAAACACATTATTTGTTTAATAAAATGACAACAAAATATCGGTTACCATAAACAACTTGTCTAGCCACGGCTTTACCATAAGTCGTATTGCTCGCCAAAAAAATCGCCAAAATCCATGCAACTGTCTACCAAAGTAGCACCTAAATTTGTATGATCTGTAATTTGGCTCCGTTGTATGTGCGTGGCATATATCTCAAACCCAAACATTCCACATAGCTACATCGTTGATCTGACGCCAACCCTGTGAATCATTATTTATTATACTTTCCTTTCATCACCACATGTTTATCAACACATGACAACTTGAGTAATGACTCATGTAGCGATTCCTAAACAATTTTTTTATGTTAGTAATCAAATAATAAAGGAGTATGGTAACCTTTTATGTTGACATTACACCTGGTGATGATTACAAATTTAAGTTAAATTCGCTAAAAAATGTTGACGAGAAAAAACTTACCAAAACTTTCTTTCCATATGCTAAAAATAGATTTTGTTGATGATACTCATAGACCTAAAGATTACAATTAGGGCTATTTGAATTAAGAATAACTGATCTGTTATTCACATAAACCCAGAACTAGTGCCAGGGCTCGTTTGGCCACATTGAGTCAGATAATTTAGGACCCACAAACCCCAGAGACCCACATCAGGCGGTAAGATATCTAGCGCCGTCTCTCAATAAGGTTTAAGTATATGGTGGGATTTTTTTTTATTCAGAACACTGATAAGCTTTAAGCATGTCCAAGAAATAGACTTAAATATAATAAATAACTAAACTAATACAATTTGGGCTTAATTGTCTCATGGCGCAATAGAAGCAAGATAAAATTTAATGGAACAACTTGTCGTTAGTCGCCAAACTCATTATGCATAGCCAAATACGTATAGTGAAGGATAGCTAAATTTAATGATGACAGCCGATAATTTTAAAGGTTTTCTAATATCGCGAAACAAAGATGAAATTTTCCAGTTAACGGATTTTGTAAAGAAATGAGGAGAAGCGGTAATAAATGAAGATGATATAAAAGATGTTTTTCATTATGATGACAATGCTTCTCAATCATCAATCGATTAATGAATGGCAAAATCTGTATGGTTCTAGATCCAGAAAATGCCGCTATCGATAGTGAAGAAAGTGACAGAAAAGTTACTGAAAACGAGAAAATTTCGATTGACAAATTAGTCGGAATTCTCAAAACAGCAGTTACGGGACTTCAACAATGTAATTAAACAAGAGATTATGTCTGTGTATAGAATTAAATAAAAGTATTAGCACACAAAATGAAGCAACTTGCATTGAAAGAAATGTTTAATAAGGTAAACAAATTAATATTAAGCTTTTGTTGTAAAATTTTGATACTCTTTAGATCATAAATACTTCACTATTTCATAAATTATGATTTCATATTTTTAATTTTATAATTTCTACATGCCATCTTACTAGATTTAAACTGATGATCTATTATCTGGAAAAATCTCAAATCTCCGAAGTCCCGAAGAGTCCGGAT